TCACCGGAATTATTTAAAATTTCGTATTTGAACATTGCAATGGCCTATGGCAAAAATTTCCTATGCAGGTTTACGTCTTCGTATAGACCCTAATATAACGGTAACTCCCTATATTTAGCAATTTTAAAATTTTTACAGAATTTTTAACGGATCTTATTTCTTGGAAAATTTCCAAAATCGTTCCAAATGGTGGAGGGTATTCTTTTTTACATTTTGCACTTTTGGTACGTTAATAATACGATTTTCATTTCCCTCAATTACAGACACCAACAGTGACTTCACATAAAATTTCACGGTTCAGCTCTATCCCTTCACCCAATACCAAATTTAGTACCACTTAGACCTCAATATCAAATTTCGGGATTTCATCTCAACACGAGATACCAAGAGAGACCTCAATTCATTTCGGGATTTCAACCGTATACATCCACTGAATATTAAATTTAGTACTTTTCGTATAATTTTAGTACTCATTTGCAAAACCATTTCATATCTTAATCCTATACACCAAAAGCTATCGCAATATAAAATTTCCCGGTTCAGCCTATCCCTTCACTCAATACTAAATTTAGTAGCATTTATTTCAATTTTGTACTTTTCGATCAATAATAGTACGCATTTCCAAAACAACCTCCACATATCTATTCCAGATACCAAGGGTGACATTCATATCAAAACTTAGAATTGTACCTCTATCACTTCACCCAATACCAAATTTAGTACCACTTAGTATTTTTCGAAAAATTATAGTATATCAAATGTAAGGATTTCACCTCTATTCCTTTACCTAATACCAAATTGTACCATTTATTACTTATTGTACAATTACGCGCCTACTTATGTCAAGGCTAAATATGATCAGCGACTCTAATACCAAATGTCAGATTTCAAGCACTATCTGTTCACCCAATGCCAAATTGTACAAAATTTAGTACTCTTAGTACTTTTCGAACAATTATAGTACGCATTTTCAAAACAATCTCCATAGCTCAACCTCAGATATCAACAATGGCCTGAATATCCAATTTCAGGATTTCAACTCTATTCCTTCACCCAATACTAAATATTGTATTTTTTCTACAATTATAGTACAAAAACCAGCTTCATATCTCAACACCAGATACCAACAGAGACCTCAATATCAAATTTCGGGATTCCAGCTCTATACATTCCCCAATACTCAATTTAGTACCACTTAGTGTTTTTCGAACAATAATAAGCATTTCCAAACCCAGCTTTTTCTCACAACATTCCGGCTTCAAATTTCAGGATTCCAGCCGTATTTTTTCAACCAATACCAAATTTAGTACTATTTAGTAATTTTCCTACAATTATAGTATGCCCAGTATTGCCCAGGCTACACATGAACTATCAATACCAACTTGTACCAACTTTAGTACTAGTTAGTACTTTTCGTGCACCTGTAGTACCCATTTCCAAAACCACCCCTTTTTATCACAAACCAACTAGAGACACGAATAAAAAAATTTTCAAAATTCCTGCTTCATCCGTTCACCCTGTCCAACTTTGGTACCATTCACACACTTATTACACATTTTCCACCTTCATATATACATCTTACTTTCCAACCTTGATTCTCAAACCAAATTTCAGATTTTAGCTCTATCCTTTCACATAACTCCAAATGGTTTTAGAAATTTACATAGCCTTAATGTTTGAATTTCCAAAAAATCTTTGGTACGTCTACTCTCACGTGGCCAAATTCCAAATTTCAGAATTTTTAGTACAAATTACCACAAACACAGCCTTATCAAATGCCTACACACCAGGACTGACACTCGTGCAAAATTTCAAGACTCCGTTTCGTCTGGATATTGATTCTCAGCCAGTAAATTTTATATATCCTTAACCATTATTTTTATAAAAGACCGTAAAATAAAAATTTTGTTCAGGGAACACAAACCCCCTTCGGAGTTTCGCTCTCTGAACTAATAATACAACTTTCTCCCAGAAATTTTGACGCCCCAAACTCTGAGAACTCACCCCGTTTCTACTTTTGAATATTATCATATCTACTTGCGATTTCCCTCCACACTCCAGATTGCAACCGGAAAATTTTTGCATAGTGTAAATAGGACGAACACAGTAAAACGTTTGCAACTGACTCGAAAGTATAGATCAGCAAATATCAATGGTTGCTAGGCGAGCAAGGAGGGATTCTGTCACCTCTACCCTGGCTTTTGGTAATAAATGAAATTCTAATCGTCGTTGCTGATTGCTAGAAAATTCCCGCAAACTGTTTCAGATCTTATGGAGGGAGCTCTAGTTAAACTCTCCAGATGGGCACGCCGCAATGGACTTGGCTTGAACCCATCAAAAACTGAGCTCGTACTCTTCACAAGGTAGCGGAAAATCCCAGTCTTTTCGCTAACAATACTTGATGGTGTTATGTTAAAGCTTTCTTCGGAAGCAAAATATCTCCTAGATCAGAAACTAAGCTGGAAGAGGAACATCCAGGAGCGAGCGAAGAAGGACTTAATTGCCTTTATTCCTGCAAAAACTGCATAGGAAAAAGCTGATGATTCAAGCCTTACATAATCAAATGGTTATATGAGTCAGTTGTCCGACCAATTCTAACCTATGGGGGGCTTGTTTGGTGGCACTCCTTAGGGAAACCCACATTCAGTAAAAGCATTGATAAAGTCCAAAGAGTTGCATCGCTACTAATTACAGGCGCGTTTAGGAACACACCCCAATCCGCACTGGACACCCTACTCAATTTGAAACCTTTAGGTTTATTTGTAGAGGAAGAAGCTGCTAGGTGTGTCCTGCGACCCAATGAACTGGGACAATGACGGAGTCAATATTAAATCAGGCTATACCTAGCGATTATCTATCACCTAGGCACAGCTTTGAACTACTTGATATTCATATACCTAAAAAAGACATCTAGAGCCGCGACACTCCACCTTTTAACGGTATAGCAGTCTATAATGACGGATCAAAGATGGAAAGCTGAACGAGAGCTGGGGTCTACTGTGAAAATCTAAGTATCCAACGATAGTTCAAACTAAGCAACGACTGTAGCATAAGCAGAAATCTTTGCTGTCAGGAAGGCAATAGAGCTGCTGGCAAATAGAATCAATAAACTTGGCGGTCCGGTGTCGATAGTTAAGCGGCCCTGAAGGCTCTACATTCATTTGCAATCAAATCTATGGCAGTTGTGGAATACTGCAGGCTTTGTAAGGACGAGGAAGAAACTGAGACGATGGAGCACGTACTCTGCCACTGCCCAACTCTTATACGAGTGAGGCAGAGGCTACTGGGTAAGCAAATTCTGCCAGATTTGTGCTGCCTCTCCGACATCGTGCCAGCAGTCATTCTTCAGTTAGCCAGAAGACTAAGATGGCTAAGGACGTCACGCTGGTACACCCTGGATGCAAATTTACTAACTTCTTTACTCTTTATTCAGAATCTCACTTCTTCACCATCCGCTATTCATTTCCTTCTCTTCTCTCTATTCTATTCTCCTATCTTCTTAACTTAGAATGAGCACAATAGACCAATAGGTCTTAGAGTGGAGTGGTTGTTTATACAACCGCGCATCCTTTAACCTAACCCTGGCGAACAAAAGCTGCAGGAGCCAATGGTTTTGTTATTGAAAACTAACAAGGAGTCGTTCAATCCCCTTGTTCAGGCATTATTGGCGAACATTGATAGTGAGCTAAGCGATCAGTTGTCCCCATTCCTGAAACTCCGACCAGTACATAATTTTATCCTTAAAAATTTAACTTGGGACTTATACTCAATAACCTTTAATCAAACAATTTTTAAGAATATTTAGGGAGATTTAGCTCATGGCTGAACAAGCCATAAGCATAGCTTCTAACAGAACCAGAAAAAAAGTTTAGAAGATGATCTATCCGAGCTATAATTATGGATTTTTAGGAAATTTTTCTTTAATCCTTTTTCTGAATAATATTTTTTTCCACAAGGAATATAATAGTGGAAGCCTTTGAGATAACTTAAATAAAACCAATTTTTTTATTTTTAATTATTTTTTTTTTTATTTTATCATTATTTATCCCTTTTTAATATTACAAATTTTGGTTTGATTTTAAGAATAAGACGCCTTCTATCATTTACGTATGTATATAAATTATAATTATGATAATATTATTTAGAATATAATATATAATCAAATTATATAAAGAATAATATTATACGCGTATATGAATTACATGTAAAAATAATGTAAATGTAGCTGAGGGGGGTTGCTGGCTGCTTTGGGGACAAAAAGGGAGGCAGCAGATTGGTAGAAAAAAAAAAACAACATATTACAAAATATGTAATAGAGGAAAGAGGGCGAAGAGCGGAGAACAGTAAAAAATGTTTCTACAAATGAAACATAAATGATGATGACAAACGAGGAGGTAACAAAACGAAATAGGGAATAAGTTGGAAAGATAGAATAGAGAAAAAAACAAGAGAAACGACGTCTGTTTTTTTGTTTTGTTTTTAAATATTATTTTGTATTTACTGAAACAATTCTTACGATGGTGGGTTCTTGTTGTTTTAAGTTACTTGAACTTTATTCCTTTGTTTTGTTTTTCTTCTTCATTATTGAATTAATAATAATAATTGTTGGTGTTTGTTTCTTAACTTTTCTTCTTCTTCTTCTTCGGTGTATAATTCTTATTTTTTTAATTAAAAAAATAATAATACAAACTAATTTAAGGAGAGGTTAGGGGGTATGGGGGTTTTTGTCAAGAAAATATTATTGATTATTATTAATGGGTGGCACCAACAGTGTCTGCCTTTATTTGTACAGACAGTTAAAAAATTTGGGTCTTCTTAAAAACCTATGAATGTGAATGGAGACAAGGGAGAAAAATGGAGGGAAAAGGGTGACAAGTTACACACAAGAAAGCGGAAATTATATTGGGTTTGTTTTGTGTTTTTTTTAATGATTAAAATATATGTGTATATTTAAACTTAAACTTAGAAAGAAGGAAATAAAGTATCAAACTTTTAAATGGTTTGTTTAATTTTGTTTTTTTTTTTTTTTTTTTTTTTTTTGGAAAGGAAGAAACAGATGCTCTCAAATTGTTTGTTGTTTTTGGCTAATCTGCTTTTGATTTATGCAGAATTTATTTTGGCTCTTTGAACTTTTTATATAATTATGTGTATAAGTAGTTGTTAATTATCGATTCCTTTTCAATAAATTCCTTTAGTTGTGATCCTTACAATTAGCGTAGTTTGTAGGTTTGGTTCAATCGAATACCTCCATGTAACTTTGTAATGTGGCGATGTGTGGCTGGCTAGAAGATGATGGATGCTGGAACTTGTTGAAGTGCTGGAGGGAGAATTTCGTATTTGTTTCTTCTTTCTGAATTTCTTCCAATTAAGAGTTTCTTTCGTGAAGGTTAGGGAGGGAGGGGGACATTTATAGAATATTTTGGTGGAGCTCTTACTTAATATATATATATATAATTTTTAAAAATATAATTATTTTTTCTTGTTTTGTTGTTTGTTTTGCTTGTTTGTTTATATTAAGGAATTTCAAAACTGTTACTTAGAAGTTTTTACGTTGATTTTCATGGACACTGCAAAGATAAAAGAGGGGGAAAATAATGAAATTAGTATTTGAATTTTATTTTCGAGACAAATTAACAGAAATATATAAAAATATAGGAAACTAAATAATAGTTTGTTATACACCACTTCAACTGAGACGAGATAAAGTAAAACATGTAATAAAAAGCTAAAAAGTATCAGTTGGTCTTGTCGGCAGATGTATACCCTCAGCAAATGTTCGATTATTTAAATATATTTAGACTTCTGCTATGATTATTCAAATTCCTCTATGGAGTAGGTTCCGCAGGAATGGGTCAGTATTGTCCATTTCATATCGAAACTTATAAATATGATGTAAATATTGCGACGTCTCAGGTTTGGACTGCATTGGTTACTTCCTTCACTTTATATGAAATATGCGATTAGTTTTAGAAAATATTAAAATGTGGGTGAGGTATCAGAAGCATTCCACTTCATCACATTCTGATCTAAATGTTGAGGTGTGCTAAATTTAAAAAAAAGCAATTACTTCCTGTTTCGTGGGAATACTTTTTAAACCAAATGATAACCTTTTGTGGGGAAGGTACCAGACTACTCGTTAAATAGCATATTCTCTCTGGTTGAGAAAAATACTTACATATGCCAAGTTTCGCACTTTATAAGAGATTTATGTATTAAAAATGGTAGCCTTTATGGGAGAGGTACTAGAAGGAGTGGATCGATATATTCCATCCTCGCCACAGATCTTGTGTTAGTAGAAATATTGAGATGTGTGAAATATGAAGATAACCAGAAGCTTATTTCGGATTTTATGATCGTTTTGGTCATTCAAAACGTTGACCCTTTGTGGGGGGAATAGTCTGATCTCTTCCATCTTTATAACGGATCTTGTGTTTATGGAAATATTGAGATGTGCCATGTTTGAATGGAATCGGATGTTAAATTCGTGTTTTATGAGCTTCATGAATATTAAACATTTTGACTTTTTGTGGGGGAGGTACCAGAAGGAGTGAACCGATATATCCCATCTTCGCACCAGACCTTGGGTTATTGAAAATATTGTGATGAGTGTAATTTGAAGACAATCGGACAGTTACGTCACATTTAATAAGATTTAAAATTATTCAAAATGATCGAGATGGATTAGACCGATATTGTCCATTTTCGCACCTGACCTAGCACTGATGCAAATATTAGGATTCGCAAAGCTGGATTATCCTTTTCTCTTTCTGTACATTAAATTATTTTCTTTGAAAATGTTGACATTTTGTGTGGGAGGTACCAGAAGGAGTGGATCGATATTGTCCATCTCCGAACTTGATTTAAGTTTGACAATAATATTACGAGGTACAAAGTATGAATCAAATCGGATGATCCCCTCGAGAGTTATCGTGCATGTAAGTATCAAGACATAAAGGTTTTCTAGTTTCTACAAGAAGAAATATTTTTCTTTGGGCAGTTTTTATCACTGGTGTTCCTTGAAATAAGTTTAATGAGCTGCCAACATCTGCCTCCATTGTTAAAATTCTATGCAAAACGTTATTGTTGGGGTTCTTCTTCTATAGCAGTAGAGCCCAAAATATTGGGTTCCTTTGTTTGTGATAAAAGCTATATCAAGCCATAAAAAGGTCGCTATATAATAATTTTTTTTTTTTTTTTTTTTTTTTTTTGTTTTTGATCCGCAAGCCGAATGCCATTTAAACATTTTCACATCACAGATTGGCGGCTGTTGCAGAGTGAAGTTTTAAGATAATTTTTAACGAATTCGAAAAAGTGCTAAATTTTGTCGAGGAAAAAAATTTTAGAGTTAGAGTTTTGATGCGTTCTGTGACCTATAGAACTTTATGACAAGAAATTTGGGGGAATATTTTGACTTTTTCCGATCCCGTTCAAATGAAGTCTTTAACAATTTTTGAAAGAAAAAAAGAACTTTAAAAACCTTGGTGACTCGTTTTAAACTTAAAATTTCGGACCGAAATAGTCCTCGTGTTACAAAAAATATTGCCAAAGACAATTTATGGCTGAAACGTTTGGTTTTCAAAGAATCTTAATCTGAAGAATAAAAAAGTGTGGAATAGAGGCGACTTGATTTACTTTATTTGGGTTCAATGCGCCGATACACGTGTATTATTTGTTAGGCTATAATTTTATAGTCCATAATGTATTGTTGGCTCTATAATTTGTTATTGATTTTACTTTTAATTAGGGTTTCCTATTATTTTAGAAAAATAGAATTTGGTGATTACCCTCCGCGATTGAATTAGGTGTATATGAACATTCCGAGTAGACATCATATTGTATTTATTTATTTTTTATTGTATCTTTAGCAGAATATTTACCTAAACAAAGGCAAAACCTATTGGAATGAGGATTATGCTAGAAACTAAAGCCGTTCTTTTTCCCTTCAAGCTATTTTACAATATAACAATAATATATAATTTTTGTATAGTGGAATAATCTTTATTACTTTCTTTTTTCTTAACATATGTTTCTTATAAGATTTTATTGAATGTTTTAATTTTTTTTTTATTTATATTTTTAATATGTAATGAGAATATTAGTAAAGTTTTCGCTTCATTTTTTTCTTTTTAGTCCTTGATGACGGTTATTTTGAAGAGTGGTTAATTAATTTATAATGTGTAGATATTAATACAAATTGTAAGAAGACAAGGGATTTATTGTTTAAATCTAAAGCAAAACAACAAAATCACTAGTCTTCCAAACAATGAGTATCGTGAATGATGGAGGGGGGGTAGAAGAAGCGTTTTGATTTGTTAACTGGGATTTTGTTTTATTTATTTTTTTTTTTTTTAATGAACACCACACACACACTTATGAAATGAGTTGCACCGTTGGATAACACCTTCACCAAACCAAAATAAAAAATATTTATATAATATATATAAATTACAATTCACCACTTAAAAACTAACACTTAAATAATGAACCTTGAACCATAAATGGGGGGTTTTAATGGATTTTATGTAAATATGTCATGAATTTGTTTTTCAATGAGATGAAAATTGTTACTTGTATTTGCATACTAACCTTTGCTGTAACAAATGTTGGGCCATTTGTATTTGTTTGGGATTACCAGAAATGGTAATAATACGATCTGTAGAACCAGGTAGGGGTTCATCAATTGTTATATAAGCACCCGATTCGTTACGTATGCGACGTATACGACTGCCACCCTTACCGATAATAGCACCGGCCATCTGTGAAAGAAAAAAAAGAGTATTTAAACAAATTCTTCAATTGCTTCTGATTTCCAAAACTAACCTCTTTTGGTATGGAAACCTGTGTACTATTCTTTGGATCATGTCCCTCGGGTAGAGTACCGGTAATGTTATTGGGTACATTACCATTGGCGCCAAACACGGGGGCAGGTCCACCTCCCATGCCATTACCCATGGCTGGACCGCCAGCAAAACCTGCCTGATTCATGCCGCCACCACCGCCGCCATATCCTTGATTTGCGGGAGCACCAAAGCCGCCACCACCATAACCAGCAGCAGCATTGCCTGCACCAAAACCACCCTGGCTGCCATAGCCACCTCCACCATAGTTATTAACCGGCATGGGACCACCTGCAGCATTACCAAAACCTCCACCACCGCCACCAAAGCTATTGCCAAAACCGCCACCACTGCTGCCACCATAACCGGCCGCTCCGCCAGCACCATAACCAGCACTTCCACCGCCTCCATTGTAACCACCATCATCCGCGGCCCATGGATTTACAAATGGATTATCGCGCCGGCCACCACTGCGGCTACGATCATCATGACGTCCACCACCACCACGGCCATAATCCCTATCATCACCACCGCCTCCACGACGACCACCATCTCTGGAGGGACGACTGCTGCCGGGAATATTGCCATAACCGCCATATTCATCGGCATACATGCGATCATAATTCAGGGGATCATAGTTGTGGACGGGACCTTTGATGGGTGTTTCTCGTGTCAGCGTAATAACCTCGCGTATGGCATCAATAACCTCATTTTGTTTGCCCACCGTCTGGACAACACGGTCTGTACTCTGCGGTGCCACATTGGAGAAGACCTTCAGAATGCGACAGCCAATTTTCTAAAAAGGAAAGGAAAAAATAAAGGGGGAACAATTAGTAAAAAATTAAAACAGGAATTAGAAATTGAATAAATTGAATTCAAAAACAAAATAATTCAAAAAAACTATATTTGTGTATATTTTGATATCTTTGAGACCCTCTCATTTAAAATGGTTTAAAATTTCATAATTTTGAAATCGAGGAGAAAACTTGATTCAATTCTGAATATTTAACGAAATGTATTTCAAATGTGAAAAAAAAAGTAAAAGTTAATCCAGAATTAAAATTTTGCAATGTTATTTAATTTGAGGCTTTTTGACAATTTCACCTTTAGAAGAAATAATTCGCCAATATTATTAAGTTTAAAGCATTTTTATTGAATTGGACAACAGTTTCCAGGTTTTAATGGAAATCTGGACAAAATGAACAAATTCTTGACTTGGCAATATTACTCAATTTAAATTCTTCCAAATCGAAAATAAATATTTTCTGATTATTAATAAATTTAGAGGTGTTGGGAAATGTAGTGAAGGTAATTTTTTTCCACAAATTCATTTTTTGCAATTTTCTTCCATTTGAGAGTAACTGAATGGCATCAATTGCAAATTTTTCCCCACCGAGTTCAGCACTCAAAACTAATTCCCTATCACATTGCTGTTAAGGTTGAATTACCATGATTCCCAAGGATTTCCAAATGTGTGTGTTTGTGTTCTTTATGCTCCTCCAAAATCAAAGCACAACAGATTGAATGGCAGGCCGGCCAGGCCAGGCCAGCCAAGTCGATTTTTGGTTATTGTCTCACAAAACCCGAAACACTTTATGGATATCGCCCTTCACGCAGTCGTTTGCTTTTGATTCTCACCAATGCAAACTCACACGCACACACCCATGTACACAATGCCATGCCCAGATATAAGCGACAGATGCAAGAATGGTTGGAAACAGAAATCCTTACAAAATCAACAGCATATTGTTTTGGAGAAAATAAAAAGGAGAAGCAAACACACCAAAAAATCGAAAAACTCAAAACAAAAGAGGCTGCAGCATGTGGGTCCGTCCAGCCGTCCGTCTGTCCAACAATCCGCAAGTAAATACCTTTAAGGTAACATGTCAAATACTGCAGCAGTTGAGTCTACAATCTATGCAACGTATCAAAAAAAAAAACAACAGCAGCAGCAACAACATCTACGTTAAGCATTTCCTGATTTCCGTGGCTACTGTCATAGCCAGTTCGGCAAGGGGGGAACTGTTTTTCCAAAAAAAAAACCATTGACTGACTTGGTTGCTTGGTTGTTCGCTCGGCAAAGACCGCAGGAATGCTGTGTGAAGTGTTTTCAATGCTGTTGTTGCTGCTGTTGGTTTTGGTTAGTGTCGCAACAAAGGCAGTAAACGAAAAAAAAAAAAAATATACGACAATAAAAGGATGAGTAGCTGTCATTTCAAATAGCAGATAAAGTACCTTCTGCCTAGCAGTTATCCCTTCTCCTTTTCAGAAGAAAAAAACTTGCTGCTGTTGGTGATGACACAACAACAACTTGAGACTGCCAAGAGAATGTTGATGACACCTCTTGTTTTGATGTTGTTGGCTTTGTAGGTCATGTACATGTGAATTGTCAAACATATATTTTCACACACACACACACACATTCGCAGGATGTGAATTACTGCTATTCGAGGACCAGCACAACACACATTTAACACACAGGGGAGGAGAGGAAAGGACTTATTCCGGCTCTTCATATGGAAATTTCTCACACTCACGCTGCAGATATTCTTGTGAACGATGAGGAACTCACTCAGTGTGTGTGTGTGTGATGGCAAGTGTTTTTGTGTGTGCGTGATGGCACTTGAGAGACAAATAAAGCATGTGACAAAATGTAGAGGAATACATCAGACACACACGTGAATAACAGAACGACGACAATGACAACAACAACTACGTTCAATGGTAGTGCATATGTAGGTTACCATATTATGAGAAGACGATGAAGAAGAACAAGAAGCATTATTTACGTAGAGGTTTAATTTAAGCCATGTTGTGAACAGACAACAAGCTGTTTTCCTACTCATGACAAACGCACGCACTCAACTATTATTCGGAGGAAGATGGTGAAGAGAGCACTCCTCTCTCTTTCTCCCTGCAAAACAGTAAGCTCTTGGAATAGAGTAACTTAAGAATTGTAAGCAGGCACGAAAGAACATTATTGAGCACAACGATGTAGTAAATAAGGGGTAAATTATGAGTGGCATATTAGGGAAGAAATATTGGACATAAAATGGGTACGCAAATAAGCTTGATTGATATTTATGTTAGAAGATGGTATTAGAAATTAATTTACTAAAAATAATTTGTAATTTGTTTGCGAAAATTTATTGCTATTTAGTTTTCATTTGAACGTCTAAATATTTTTTTTTCGTTAAGCGCAGCACTTCTTGTACGAACTGTACTAAATGGTACCAAATTTATTACATTTTGATTTATAGTGAACGGATGTAGTTATATTTTGTACTGGGGTCCCTGTTGGTGGTCAGTTTGGTGGTCAAGGGCACGAAAAGTACAAAATAGTACTATATTTGGTACAATTTAGTATTGGGTGAACGGAAAGTGTTTGAAACCTGAAATATGGTAAAAAAAAGTAGTAAAAAGTACGAAAAGTACTAAATCTGGTATTGGGTAATGGAATTGACCTGAAATCTTGAAATTTTTGAGAAGGAACTGATGCGTACTATAATTTTGCTAAATGATACTAAATTTGGTAATGGGGGGAAATTAAAGAGCTGGAATTCTGAAACTTGATATTAGGATAATTTCAAATGACTAAATGCGACCTCCATTTGAACGAATATTCCAAACGGTACTAAATTTGGTATTGGGGGACGGGATATGGCTGGAATCCTCAAATTTGACTTTGGGGTCTCTGTTGGTAACTGGAATTGAGATATGGAGATGGCTTTGGAAATGTATACTATAACTGTACAAAAATTACTAAATGGTACTCAATGTGGCATTGAGTGAAGGTATTGACCTAAATATTTAATTTTATAAAAATATAAATAAATATTTAATTCTATAAAAGTACTAACTGGCACTAAATTTGATTATGGGGGAAATTAAAGAGCTGAAATTCTGAAATTTGATATTAGAATCACCGCCAAATTACTAACACATTAAACAATTTATACGAAAAAAAATTATAATTTAAGCAATTTTAACTTTGTGATTAATTCAGGTGGCTGAATTGAGTGATTTTCAAACAAAAAAAAATGAGACATTTTTAATTAAAAAATACATATTTTTTTTATTTTTAAAACAATAAATTCGGAGATTTTATAAAAAAAATTTCGGTGCAATTTATTTAACTGAATTAGAACATCTTCAAATAAAACAAATAAGATAGACAAGTATTTTAAGCCTTTACTTAAATTTAGCTAGGTGAATTATTTTTTTCCTTTGTGATTAAAAATACATAATTTAATTGTTTTTTTTTTTATGTATGATTCCACTTAAAATATTCCATATTTCGTTTGGTAAATTGTATTAAATCACCAATTTATATATATAAAAAATATATTATATTCCATTCTTCTTTTCTTATTTTTGCAACCACCTGTTGCCAAGCGGAAATTATAAATTTCTCATTTGCCTCCTTTTACTTATCGAAAAATAAACTAAAGAAGGCACCGGGGAAGAAGACTACAAAACAATGTGAATAATACTATCCCTTATTGGCTTAAGCAAGAGAGAGCAGTATGTCATTCACTTGTTTCCTTATCCCTCTGCATTTGTTTTTCTTGTTGTTGTTTTTTTTTTCTGGTTTACATATCCATGTTTTATATCCTGTTTCTTTAGGTTCGTTCGATTTTTTTTTTTTGTTTTGTATTTTTTCTTTAAGTTTTTTGTATGATTGATTTGGGAATACAACAGCAAAGAAGTGCTACAACAAACACAACGATATTGCCAAAGTAATTGAAAACAGAAATCTAAAGGAACTATCAAAAAGAGTACGGATAGAGAGACGATATAAAAGGCAAACATCCTGTTTGCCAAAGAACAAAACAAGAAAAAACTCAAACACATCAAAATCACATCCGGTTGCGTAGATAGTTTATCAAAAACAGATAGTGTTGGTGGGGGAATGCAAGGAGTTCTCATCAACTTCATTAAAGGAAAGGCAAATTTCAAAAATTCAAAAAAGCAACTGCTAATATGTTTTTGTGTCCCTCATATCCTTTTGGCTTATCTCCGATGTTTCCAAACCAAATACGAATTATTTGCCCATGGCCCATAAACATTGAAAAAAATGTATTTGAAACCAGTTTCAATGCCATGATGTAGTCTCCTCCTGATGTTTTCTTTTTAATTTTTTGATTATTTAAAATTCTCTGCCCCCATCGAAGTAATAGAATTATTATCAGTTGTCATGATGTCATCCTCAACGAAGTTTTCCTCTCAAACATCGCCAATTGTTTTGGGCAAAATTATCACAGCAAAACCCCTGGGAGAGAGCTATTCTTTGCTTATCATGTCATTAACAATTTGTGACCCTTAGTTGCGTTCCAACAAAAAAGAATGAAAAATAATTACGGCCACTTCACATGGAACCAAAGAAAAACAACCATGGTGTACCCCAGAAGCTGATGAAATTGGATACAAGTCAAGCCAATCCCAAAAAGAAAAATGGAAAAAATTACAAAACTTGCTGAAAATGATAGTGGCAGTGATACCACATCCCTCTCACCAAAAAACAAACACAAAAACATCAACATGATGGTAATGATGATGATGATGAAGAACTGTGGGGAGACCCCTTTAACCCCAACACAGCACAGTTCATTTTTCATTCTCCAACACAATTACACAAACACAATTTCTATTGTAGTAATCATATCACTGACTTTCCTTCCCCAAACCCCCCTGCCCAAAATCCTTTGACAAAATTGTGCCATAGTTTAAAGTGTTGTATTCCGCCATCACCATCCAAATCTCCTCCTCTCTTATGGCTTCATTTTTTTTTTTGTT